ACGGATTTTAGGAGGAATTTGGGCTGGATTTTGGTATTTGGGGTGTTTGGGGCTGGTTTTAGGGAATTTAGGACTGATTTTAGGAGGAATTAGGGCTGGATTTTGGTATTTGGGGTGTTTGGGGCTGGTTTTAGGGAATTTAGGACGGATTTTAGGAGGAATTTGGGCTGGATTTTGGTATTTGGGGTGTTTGGGGCTGGTTTTAGGGAATTTAGGACCGATTTTAGGAGAAATTAGGGCTGGATTTTGGTATTTGGGGTGTTTAGGGCTGGTTTTAGGGAATTTAGGACGGATTTTAGGAAAAATTAGAACTGGATTTTGGTATTTGGGGTGAATTTTGGGGGAATTTGGGGTGTTTAGGGCTGGTTTTAGGGATTTTAGGGCTGATTTTAGGAGGAATTAGACCTGGATTTTGGAATTTGGGGTGAATTTTGGGTGTTTAGGGCTGGTTTTAGGGAATTTAGGATGGATTTTAGGGGGAATTAGAACTGGATTTTGGAATTTGGGGGGTTTGGGGCTAAAATAGGGGAAATGAGAGTTGGGATTTTGGGAATTTTAGGGGAACTTGGGCAGTTTTGGGGGCATTTTGGGGCAGTTTCTGGGGCAGTTTTTCAGTGATTTTAGGGCAGTTTTTTGTGGGATTTTAGAGCCATTTTTCGGTGATTTTATGGCAGTTTTTTTTTGGGATTTTGGGGTAGTTTTTTTTAGATTTTAACCCTTTTTTCCCCATTTTTAGGACTGGAGTTGGAGACGCCGTCGCTGGCGCCGGTGAAGAAACCAAACTCAGCTTCATCCGACAAATACGGCCTCAAACCCGTCCCAGTCAAGAGACAAAGGTGGGCAGTTTTAACATTTTTGGGGATTTTTTAGGATTTTTCAGGATTTTATAAAAATTTTTTAGGATCCGAGGGGATTTTGGGGAAATTTCGGGGATTTTTTTAGGATTTGTGGGGGTTTTTTGGGGATTTTTTTTATTTATTTTTATTTTTGGGGGCATTTTTCAGGGATTTTTTTTGGGAATGTTTTTTTTTTAATTTTGGGGGATTTTTTGTGGAATTTTCAGGGATTTTGGGATGGCATGTCTCAGGAATTTTTGGGGAGCTCAGAGCTGCTTTTGAGGGATTTTTGGGGGAGTTTTGTGGATGATTTCGGGTCCATTTTTGAGGCAGTTTTGGGGCCATTTTGGGGTTGATTTTGGCCTCATTTTGGGGCCAATTTGGGGTTGATTTTGGCCTCATTTTGGGGCAGTTTCGGGGTAATTTCAGGGCAGTTTTGGTGTGGTTTTGGGGCCATTTTCAATGTGGTTTTGGGGTCATTTTGGGTTGATTTTGGGTTCCTTTTTTGAGAGGGTTTTGGGGTCATTTTTGAGGCAGTTTTGGGGTCATTTTGGGGTGTTTTGGGTTCAATTTTGGGGTGTTTGGGAGGCCATTTTGGGGTGGTTTTGGGGTCATTTTCGAGACAGTTTTGGGCTCATTTTGAGGGTGGTTTTGGGGCTGTTTTGGCTTAATTTTCAGGGCGGTTTTGGGGTCATTTTGGGGTTGGTTTTGGGTTTATTTTTGGGGTGGTTTTGGGGTCATTTTCGAGACAGTTTTGGGCTCATTTTGAGGGTGTTTTGGGGTTGTTTTGAGGTAATTTTGGGGTGGTTTTGGGGTAATTTTGGGGTGTCCTGACCCTTTTTCCCCCTCAGTGCCCCCACAGCCCCCGGGGAGGCCCCTCTGGCCGAGAAGAAATACAAACCCCTGAACACGGCCCCGAACGCGGCCAAGGAGATCAAAGTCAAGATCATCCCCCCTCAGCGTGAGTTTCGGGGCTTTTTGGGTTTTTTTGGGGTTTTTTGGGTTTTGGGGGAATTTGGAGCCATTCTGGGACAATTTGGGATCGATTTGGGCCCAGTTTAGGACAGATCTGGGACTGACTCAATTCCATTTTGTGAGGGGATTTAGGAGCTGTTTTTGGGTGCAGTTTTGGGGTGGATTCAGGCCCTGTTTTGGGGTGGATTTGGGACCTGATTTGGGCCCCATTTTGGGGTGGATTTAGGGTTTTTTGGGGCACATTTGGACCTCGTTTTGTGGCAGATTTAGGCCTCATTTTGGGGCTGATTTGGGGTTTTTTGGGGTGGATTCAGGCCTCATTTTGGGATGGATTTGGGCCTCGTTTTGGGGCAAATTTGGGACGCATTTTGGGGTGGATTTGGGTTTTTTTGGGGCAGATTTAGGCCCTGTTTTGGGGCACATTTGGGGGTTTTTGGGGTGGATTTGGCGCCCATTTTAGGATGAATTTGGGGCCAATTTTGGTCTGGATTCATTCCCTGTTTTGGGGCACATTTTGGGTTTTTTTGGGATGGATTTGGGGTCCATTTTAGAGTGAATTTGGGGTCCATTTTAGGGTGAATTTGGGGCCGATTTTGGTCTGGATTCAGGCCCTGTTTTGGGGCACCTTTGGGTTTTTTTTTGGGGTAGATTTTGGGCTGGATTCATTCCCTGTTTTGGGGCATTTTGGGGGTTTTTTGGGGCATTTTTGGGTTTTTTTTTGGGCTGATTTGGGGTTTTTTTGGGGGCACATTTGGGGTTTTTTTTGGGGCAGATTTGGGGTTTTTTTATGACTCTCTATCTCTCCCTCAGCCATGGAAGGCCTGGGTTTCCTGGACGCTCTGAACTCGGCGCCCGTG